GGTGTGTGTGTGTGTGTGTGTGTGTATTTAACCTATGTCTTAATCTCAAATGTGGTTAAGAACCTAGCTTCCAGAGCTGACCTAAATATCAGTACCAAGCAGTGGAAAAGACAAAACAGTGTCCATAATACTGCCAGATAACAAATGAAATCTATAAAGGATCTTTCCTAGAAATAAAATTAAAAGTTCCAATTTCATCAGAGTCACAGAATATAGAAACTGCAGGGAAATAAAGTATATGAGAGATATACTGAAGGGTAAAAATGACAGGAAAACACAGAGTAGATTGTGACATATTTCTAATTACTACTCAGTTTCAGGCTAATAGTAAAAATTAGTCTTCAGATAGTTGATAACATCAGCCTGTCTCAGCTGGTTCAGTAACCAAGATCTGTGGTCAAGCAAATACTTCTAATAAAATTGATTTTCCTTTTTGGCAACCAATAGACCAGTCAATAATAATGTTGTTTAAGAAAGACTGAGTCATGAGAGAGATGAACCTTTACTTCCATTTATTATGTTTGTATTGTCTATATTTTCAAAGAGTTTTCAATAATGAAACCAAAGAAGAAATTACAAGGGGAAAGCTATTCTGAGAGCTAATTTCCAAAAGCCTCTTAACTTGGAAGCATGTTAGAAACCCAAACTGACAAAGCATTCCCCAAATGAAACTAGATCATGTGAGTTAGGACTGTCAATAACAAAGGAAAATCAAGGCTAGGATCAATATAAAGTGGTCATGTGAATACAAAGAGAAAAAGGAAACCATTGGCTAGATATACAGTCCTAACTGATCCATTCTAAAAACCAACATGAAACTTTTACTTTACATTAAAATTTATATTCAGGAAAGTGTTCTATAAAGCCGCAAAAGGCAGTTTTTGGATTGTCTGTCTTATATTACCCAAACAAAGAGAATAGGAAACCCACAGGCAAAAATCTCAGGCTATGCCTAACTTGAGGACATTCCCCTCCAAAACACTCTGAAGAAATTCAAAACACTAAGTTGAAAGATATATGCACCCCTATGCTCAGTGGCTAAGATATGGAAGCAACCCAAATGTCCATCAACAGACAACTGGATAAAGAAAATGTGGTACATATATACAATGGAATATTAGTCAGCCATAAAAAAGAACAAAATTTTGCCATTTGAACAATATGGATGGACCTAGAGGGTATTGTGCTAAGTGAAATAAGTCAAATAGAGGAAGACAAATAACATAATTTCACTTATATGTACAGTCTAAAGAATAAAATAAATGAACAAACAAAACAGAAATAGAATAAACTGAAGGTTGCCAGATGGGAGGGAGGTGGGGGGACAGGTGAAAAAGGTGAAGGGAGTACGAAGTTACAGAACAGTCACTGGATGAAAAGTATAGCATAGGGGAAAATAGTCAATAATAATATAATAATTATGTATGGTGGGAAGTAGAATTATCAGGGAGATCACTTCATAAATTATATAATTGTCTAACCACTATGCTGTATACTTGAAACAAATACAAAATAATACTGAATGATAACTGTAAATGAAAAACAAAAATAATTTTAAAAATACTCCCTAACAATCCAAACCAAATAAAAGACACGAGTGCACCAACAGTTTCTTTCCTTTTTTTCTTTTTTTTTTTTTTAATTTAGTGATGGTGGTGATGGTTGGGGGAAGCAAGGGTTGAAAAGATGATTATAAAGTTCACAAACAAAAATAAACAAAAAGAAGAGGAAAAATTCTGAACAAGTAGGGAAGGAGTCTATCCTAAAAGATATGAAAAAGTATTTTGAAGCTATAATGCTTTAAGAAGAAGAGCACAAGTACATGAACAGACAAACAGAGCAATGGTACAGAAGAATAGCCCAGAAATACACTAAAGGGATATAGGTAGTGATTGCTTAATGGGTACAAGGTTTCCTGTTGGGGTGATGAAAATGTTGTGGAACAAGATAGCAGTGACAGACGTCTAACACTGTTATGTGTACTAAGGCCACTAAGCTGTACACTTTACAATAGTTAATGGTGAATTTTATGTTATGTGTGGATTTGACGTCAATTTTTTAAACAAACTCCCCCTTCATCACTCTTACCTGAGAGTTAATATCAGCTCTATACTGTAGCAAGACTGTGACTAGTTCCTTATGTCCTCGATCACATGCCCAATGGAGTAGAGCTCTGCCCTAAAAACACAGAAAAAGAGAAATAAATTTGTTAATACAGCTCTGGGGCCATATAAAAGAGATAATGTTTTTAAGAAAGACAAAATAATAAGTAAAACTGGGTTAATTATTCTAAAAATGGCTGATATAAAATGCTCTATGGGAAAAGCAGTCAACTTTTCGAAATCAATTGGAAATTCCGAGTTCTACTTCTGGAATCCATTATGTTCTAGCCCAGTGACTGATGTCAGCCTGATCAGTTTCCTCACCTATAGAACGAAAATAAGGATAATACTTGTTGAGTGAATGAGCTGCAAGATAATACTTTGAACATTTTAAAGTACTACTTTATAAATGTAAAAGATAGTTTTCTTAAATGATCACATTTGCCACTTCCCGTGAAAGAAATCTGATGGATAAAAAAACAAGTACTTAAACATAGGCAGAAAACATAATCTAAATGTAGTATATTTAAATTTACTCAAAATGTAAGAAAATTTAATCAGTTTGAAAGTAAGCATTTTCTCTTAATAGCCCAAATTTACACTCTTATCTCAAAAACCCTAGTATAGTCTACTTGGTGTCTAGCTTCAAAAGTCGACTGTGATAGCCACTTGTAAAAGAGAATAGATAATTAACTGTTAGGAGGGAAAGTACTAAATATGAAACATTAACTATTGTCTACCCAAAATCTCGGAGTTGTTATCAATGTGCTAACTCTATTCTGCACCATTAGAAAATCTTGTTTTAATTAACGAAAGAAGCCTATGTGGTCCAACGAACAAACAAAACCCCAATAGCTAAGGGCTCCTTGGAAGCAATGAGTGATGTATGGCTTAGCATCACCTTCTGAGGGTGGTGGTGATGTTGTCATTTTTAAGAACTGGAATGTTTTTCCACATTAAGTTGAAATCCCTGCTTTATGCCATTTTAGAAAAGATTTAAGTAGGACAAAGTGGGGCAAAGATGGCTTTAAAGGAAAAGGCACCTTTCAAGAAAGCTTTTTAAAACCCTTTTACACTCTTTATCTTCCAGACTCTTCAAGCACCTATTAGTTCAACTAATTAAACCAGGATCTATTCTTGAAAACACACAAAAAACCAAAGACAACGTCTTCCCTACAAACTGTTCGGCCTTTTCTTTCATTTGCTCAACTTATTTCTACTTACCTATCACTATGTTTTCTAACAGGCTTACTCAAATTCCAAACAGGAAGAGAAGCAGAAAATTAAAACATGTGGGCAAATCATTCAAAATTTGTTGTTGTAACAAAACCACTTTGTTCAGACCCCCCCAAAATTTTTTAAAATAGAGACAACTCTAAAAGCCAAGTAAAAAATGTTCTGTCGAGTAGAGAATAGTATCCTATGTTAAAATTTCTGTAACTCTAATGACCTGCTGTTATTAGGACAGTAATTTCAAAACCCTCCAAATGAATAATTAGATAGCCTCACAAGATTCAGAACAAATAACAATATATAAAATATTCTATAGTTCAATATAACTGTTTCACAGCTTTTACATTAAAAGAATTAGATAAAATTTCAAAGTCTCCATCATTTTTAGTTCTAACTTTAAATGTACATTTTATGGCTATTAAGTTAAACTATTAACAAGAATTACTACATAGTTAAAATGATGTGTGATATACTTTCACAGGGCACCTACCAGAACTACCTAACAGTTAAGTACGAAAACATAATATTAATATATCTAGTACTTTTCCCACAAGATAATTTCTACTTCCTCACTAGGTTCCTGATTTCTTCTTAGAATTAACCCAATAGGGTTATATCGATTAATAATAAAATATAAATCCTTAGCTGTTTCAATGGGAAAGAAGACAAGCAACTCATTTTACTGTTAATGGGAGTTATATTTTAAATTTCCCATTTGTGGTGCCAAAAATTTACTTTAGGGGAAACACCTATGACTGGACCTCAGTAGTGATTTCCACTTTGGATATATTTTCCAGAAGGGCGGCACCCTACAGTAATGTTTTAAGGAGGAGGAGGTGCTCTCGGACACTTACACTACGCTTTTTAGCACGTTGCTTGACCTGCAATGTAATTAATTTTGGTAACACATTATTTTAATGGTACACTAATTAACCTTGAATTGGAATGAATTCTCTGACAATGACTTTCTGTAGAAGTGCTGAAGATATCTACATTAAGACTACCTAATGATAAATATTTTTATGCAGTATTAAGAAGCTCAAAAAGAACAGGATTAACCATACTTGTAAATAAGCATAGATAATCAGGCTTTGGAATTTTTGCCTTCAAAATGCTTTGTATTTAAATGAACAAAGACTAGCACAGACAGGTGTCTGAATGGGATGACACTTTACTTCGTCAAATTATAAAGTTCCCATAAACATGCTCTAATTTAAGATGATCAGTTCAAGTAATAAGATAGGCAATAATCTGCAGAGATACTATCCTTGTAGCCATTTATGACAAAATCAGGAACTAAACATCTGTGGTTTCTTTCCTTCCTCTTTCCTTTTTTTCAAGAAAAATCTGAATTAGGTGCACATTAAAGCTATATCTGCTTAAAGACTTTATCCACATTTATGAAGCATTTTACCTATTTTTACATATAATTGTTTTATCTTCTATGAATGATATAATCTCTTACAAATTTTCAAGTTAAATTTATTTTTACTGCTACCACAAAAACTGACAGTTCTTTGTATCTAGTTTTAACAACTCCTGTGCAAAAAACATCCCAGAAGTATTCAGGAGATGAGGGAAAGCCATTATTAAAAGGAATCTTTGTTAGGCCAACAGAAGACCCCAAGCACTGTTGGGAGAGTTCTAGATAAATTCTAGAAAACACAGAGGGGGAAAGAGTTCTCATCTATTAACCAAGCAAGGGTACTAATACTGTCCTACCTCAGACAGATGAATGACTCTAAAGTGCTTCGAAAGTGTAAGGTGGCAGCTAGCCTATTAAATGGTATTACTTTCATACCTTCTGGAAAATACAGAGTGGGTTTTAATATTTTAAATGCTTCTTTGATATCCTTAGTTATTTGTCCTCAAACCATGTAATTTTTTTAAAAATTAGATTTTCTCTGGGATATCACAAATTAAATGAAGCGACTGTACTATAAAACAGTCTTGATGTCCTTATGGTATTTGGAGAACAGATACAAAGCACGTACACTATACATACAGTAGACAAAAACATGGCAAAGTTGGTATGTTTAAATTTGTAAGAGGTGTCACCTTGCCATGGTATCAAAGATGGTATGATAGAGTACTGTCTACTTAGCAAATGAAATACTGCAAACAGGTCGACTTGAATTTCTCTCTGCAAAAAAACCTGAGTTTAATTTTACAATTGTAATAGAGACTGACTTTAGTACCAATAGCCTGCTATGACTGTCCTCTACCCCAAGCCTAGCTTCTCCCCTTTGCTACTGCTGCTGTTTAGTAGCTGCTACAGGGAGAACTCCTCACCTCCCACCACCATAATGTTAGTGATGTAAAAGTGAGGGAATAAGCAAGGGAGATATCACTTCATCCTGTATAAAATAAGAGATAACAGTAATAATAAGTTGCCATGAAAACAGCCCAAGTGTCCATTATAAGACAATGGATAAACTACAATATTTTCATATGATGGAATATTGCTCAGCAATATAAAGGAAGTACTGATCTATGCAACAATATGGAAGAATCTCAAAAACATTCTGAAAAATAAAGGGAGCCTCATACAAAAAGGCACATATTATAATTCCATTTATGTAAAGTTTGAGAACAGGCAGAACCAATCTATAGTAGAAGAATTACCAGAACAGTTGTTACCTTTGTGGAATTAGGAGAAAGAACCACCTGGGAAGGAGCATGATGGAACCTTCTAGGGTGACAGTAAGGGTCTTATCTTGCTGGGAGTTTTGGTTACATAGGTACATGCATTTGTCAAAATTAATCGAATTTGCACTGAAGATTTGTACATTTCATCATATATAAATGTTATCTTCAAAGAAAAACTAAATACTGAATTCTAATTAATAATATGCATGCTGAAACATTTAGAAGGAAGTATATTGTCTGCAAAATACTGATAGAAAATGCATCAAAATATAAGATTGATGGATCAATAGAGAGAAGGGTAAATATTGCTAAGACAAGCACAGTAAAACATTAGTGGTAGAATCTAGGAAGCAGGAATATAGGCATTCACTGTAAAAGAATTCTTTCAACTTTTCTGTATGTTTTAATTTTTTTATAATTGTTAGAAAAAACCCCAAAATTTGTACATCCACAATCATAGCAGCTTTATTTACCATAGCCAAAATATGAAAGCAACCCAAGCGTCCATGATGACTTTCGATAAACAAAATGCAATATATTCACACAATGGAATATTATTCACTTTTAAAAAGGAAGGAAAGTCTGACACACGCTACAACATGGATGAACCTTGAAGACATTATACTAAGTGAAATAAGCCAGTCACAAAAGGACAAATATTATGTGATTCCATAAAACGAGGTATCTAGAGTAGTCACATTCATGGAGATAGTAGAATGGTGGTTGCCAGCGGATGGGGGATGGGGGAAATGGGGAATTAGTGTTTGTGAGTGTAGACTTTCATTTGGAGAAGATGAGAAAGTTCTGGAGATAAATGTTGGTGATAGCTGCATAACAATGAATGAATTTAGTGCCACAGAACTGGACTCTTCAAAATGGTTAAAATGGTAAATTTTATGTTTTATGTATATTTTACCACAATAAAAATTTAAGTTGCCAAAGCTCGTAAGAATTTAACTACTTTCACTATTTTCTGATTTTGTGTTAAATATGTATTTCTGATGTAAAGTATTACCATATGCTTGATTTTTAAATAGTATTAATGCAAATGAGCATAATTCAACATTTCTCAATTAGGATGAATGAACAAAGTTCCTTGAAATTAATCAACTATACAACCAAAATAACATATAGTCAAACGTAAAAGTTATTTAAGAGATTGCATTTTTTCTTCCTTTTTCAAATCTTAAATAAAAGCATAAATTTAGCCTTAGTATACTGACTCTGCAACCTAAACCTTGTGCTTCTTTGTTAGGTTAATACTAACAGTTCCACCAGATTTTCCAGCAGTTTCTCAAGACAAAAAGCATGTAAATTGTATTCTGATATGAGCCACAGATTTAAAACAAAATGAGAAGGGAAAGAAAAGGAGTCAAGAGAAAAGTGCCCTCCCTCAAAATATTTGAAAGGATCAATAAATATATGGAAAATGGTGTAACAATTATACCTTCCAAAGGACAGAAAGGAAAGAACTAAAGAAGTAGCTCAATAAAAGGGGAATTTGGGAGTGTTTTAGATAAGAATCTATGGAAAAAACAATGAATACTTTTGGGGGACCAATGATAGCTTGCACTGGAATGCTGTAACCTATTTTGTTCACATATTGTTACATTGCTACATTGGTCCTAAAAATTTTAAATTAATGTAAAGGTTTAAAATGTTATTTAAATATAATCAAGAAGCATGTATTTAATGTCTACTCTATATGGCACTGATCCGAGAAATAATGTGCGTGACAAGAATTATGCAGATATAATTTATGTCTGATGACTGATAATATTCTGCTCATATTACTCATACTTTACAAATTATTTAAATCATTATCTACCCTTAAAATATATATTTTTTTTGAAAACCCATAAATATTTGACATATGTGGGGAGCTTTATTAATATGACTCAATGATAAAAACTGAATCACCATTTGAAAAAATAGGCTCTTAGATCTTCACTTTTACACATAACACCATGATGCTATAAACCTGTACCTTAAAACATCTGATATGTGGATAGCTTCCTGAATAGTAAATATAACTACAAAACTTTTTTCTATCATGTGAAATATAGACAATGTCCTAATTACTGTATCAGTAGGAGACACCATGTAACTTTCTCAAATTAGAAATATATACCCTACTCTAGTAGTAGTAATTACAACTTAAATAAACAAACAATATATATCAGGAATTATACTTATGTATAATAAAATAACTTCATTATAAAATATTAATATTTTATTTAAAAGGTACCTTATATATGTTCATGTGCTATAATGGTTACAAATCCAAATATATGCATTTCAGGCAATATAATAATTGTGCTTATTTCAAATATGTGGGAATGCAAGTGTAGCATATTTTATTACTATAATTAAATTTCTTTATGTGCTCATAGCAAATTTTAAGGGCAATAAATGTGATTTTTAGTCATCTAAGGACAAGACTTAAATTGAGTTGAACCTGCTAGATAAACATTTTAAATAAAGTCCTACACCATCCCAAAGAATCTTAGGCAATCAGTGGTGAAATATCTCAAGTTCATACAGCACATAAACACAAAGGAGAATTGGATGTACTCTCAAAACTGTAATTGTTACCCAACTTATTATAGAGAAATGCCATTATTCTGATAAGGGGGTTACAAGTATTTAGTTAGCAACTTAACTTTGAGGTTATATACTTTTAGTCCATCACCAAAGCTTACCAACTTGCTATTTGCTAGAGCTTTAAATATTATCAAGCAGTACCATTACTTTTATTTAGAATGTTAAGTTTAATTCTCATTTTAAGCTCTCATTTCCCTCACGTTCTTAAATTAATTCATACAAATCCCTGATTAATAATAAAAGGGCTTGCCATCAGTATTCAAAGCTCAGCCTGAGTTGTCATGGCTGAGAGGGCAGAAATCTGCTTGGAGTAATGAGAGAACCCAACTGAATTCTTAGCGTCTCAGTCTATGAATGCGTAAGCACTTCATCGAATGTCCTGGCAGGCTGGGGTAAAGGCGGCTGCACGGGTAACAAACTGGAAGATCTGGGAAGCTACTACATCAAAGTAACTAAATGGCAGAAGCAATACATTTACAAGTGTTCCTTTTATTTTCACAAACAAACATGTTATTAGTGTAAGCTGTCTGTGTTCTAGACATTTATTTTATTCCTTTCACTGCTGTCCAATAATCTTTGCAAAGGTCACGTGTGAATCTGATTTTCAGTACTATTTTTATACATTTATCCAAACCCACAGAACGTACAACACCAACGGTGAACCCTGAGGTAAATCAGGAATTTGGGTGATTATGATGTCTCAATATAGGTTCATCCTTGGTAAAAAAAAAAAAAAAAAAAAATTACCATTCTGGTGAGTGATGTTAATCATGGAGGAGGTTATACATGTGTGGGGCACAGGGGTATATGGGAAATCTCTGTACCTTCCTCTCAATTTTATTGTAAACCTAAAACTGCTCTAAAAAATTAAGTTAACAGCATTAAAGCATAATCCTAGGATGACATTTATGCAACAGCTCTGGAGAGTAGCCAGTCCAGATTAGAGATGAAGAAGGAAAGAGGGTTTCAGAAGGAATATTGCTAAAAAATATATGGGATTGATTACCTGATGTGTTTGACTGCACAGAGAAGACCTCTGTTGGGCAATTTGAGGAAAAATTAATGACAGAAACACAGAACACTAAGAAAATATAAAAACAAAAAGAGACGCAATTATTAACCTTGAGAAAAACAAAATGTTGTACCATGCCATGCAGACTGTATTATTCATAACTAGCAGACTTCCTACCATACTGCCCTGGGGCTTGGCCTCATGACTTGTTTTGGCTACAGAAATGTGAACAGATGTGACACAACCTACGTCCAAGCAAAACCTTTAAATGTATTTGTGGAGTCTGGTCTGTCTGCCTTTAGTTTCTGCCCCTATCTATTGAGAATGGATTTCAGAATGAGAAAATACACAAAATCAAGATGAACTGATCCCAAACAAGGCTAGCAGAACCCAGCAGAGCCTCAGTGACCCAAAATCTTTTTGAAATATGAGCAAAAAAAGACATGTTCTTATTAGCCACTGAAATTTTGGGTTGTTTTTTGCTATAGCAAAAGCTAATACACATAAGTACAGTCCATAGCTCAGCAATACTTACATAGTCATAATATAATTATATTACATTGGTAATAATAAACACTGATTCAACAGTGATTCGATCAAAAGTCTGAAACTGAATGTTGTGATATAACTGTTGGGGGACAGGGGAAGACGGGTAAAAACAGCTGAATCCTAACATAACAGAAGAACATCAATAATGTCGAAAGTTGGAAAAATTGAGATACAAGCAGATTATTAAGAATTATGTAGGTAAATTGCAAAAGACACAACTAAAAGAATGGAAAATTTCTGCCTCAAGGGAGCTAGAATCAAATGTGAGAATGATGCAGATTAGGGTGTACTTTTTTGTTAAAAGACATAATTTGATCTTCTTTGAACTACCCACATATATTAATTTTATAAAAATTATAACTCACGAGCACAAAAATAAGAAACGACAATAAAATCAAGGGAAGCAATCATGCCTGATTTCCTAAAAAAAAAGTATTCTGATCCTGAAAGCTGAAAAAGACCCCTAGCTGGAATCATGACCTGGTTTTATTATTTCGCAATCTGGCATCTACTTTTTTCTAGCTACATCTTTCTTGGCTCTGTCTGTTTCACTATTTAGGGGAAAACAAACAATTGGCGGTTTCCCTTTACTACAGAAGTACAGCCTTACATTTTCATGACAATATGTTACACGAAAGATGTTGCCTAAAAGTGAGATAATACTGGGTGGGGCAAAAGGTTTATAGTTGTTCATACGGAAAATAATAATACAAGAATAAACTGTTTTGTGTACTCACAACTGCAAACCTCCTTTTGCCCCACCCTGTATCAAGGGCTAACCTGTACGGGCTGATTATTTATCTATTTTACACATTATCTACAATCACTGCATGCCCTCTCTGTAACAATGGCCACCTTCTGGTCATTTCAATCAGCTTTCACTACATTACCAATGAATGAGAAAAATGATTAAAAGTGAATTAAAGTTTGCTTCTTTTTTAACAACTATAATTCAGGGACAATTTAAGCTCAATATGTAAACAGTTTTATTCACAAAACAAATAAACTTAAGAAGTAATATATTTCACAAAATGTATTTAAATAGTGGGCCCACATTTAAATATTTGGATTTACCAAAATTCCTAGTTTTCTAGAAATATACTTATTGCGTAAAGGAAAACATACCATTTAAGATTTACTAATAGAGGGCACTAAAGCTACTTATAAACATTTTTATATTTCCTATAGGTCTCACTTATGTTAACAGTCTCTCCCCTTTATCATGAAATAGGAGTTATTTTGAGTGCAAGTTTCACCTAGTAACTTCTGTAACATGGACAGAAATATGATGGATACAGACATAAAAAGTATTTAACTGGGTGACACTATCTCATTTAGATATTCTGACATACTCTTAACCATACCATATTTTGAGTTGTAGTTCACAGGCCTGCCATTTAGAAAAAAACCACTGGGGCAGAACAAGAAAGCAAAAGAAAATAATTACAGGGCACATTTTTCATACCTCTTCATCTTTCATATTCACATCCACATTTTTCGATTTGATGACTTTGGATATATGGTCAATGTTGTTTTCCCTGCAGTAATCAAATATGTTTTTGTCTTCTTCCCTAATGAAAGTAAAAATAAAAAGTGTTTGTCTTACTAGCTAATCCATAAAAGATTCATATTTTTAACAAAACCTGATTGCTGCTCACAAACATTAATGAAATCTCTGTTTTTATAAAGAATTTTACATGAACAATAATGGATTTTCAATAAGACATAATACATCCAACCTCTGAAAAGACTAAAGTTCTTATCAACTATAATTATAGGGAAAAGTGTCATCGCTTTGACAAAGTATAACAGTACACTAATATAACATCTTCAGTAGACTATCTCAGTGCTCTTTCCCTCCCGTTACTTTCACACACTGATAGGCACATACTTCCTCTCAGAATTTTCCATTGCAGCACTGTAGCAAGAAACACTGTAATGTCTGTACAGAGGTATTGAAAGATCAGAAAAAGGTTTACTGCTTGTTTTACAGGACAACAGAATGACAAGTTGATTGCTACCCAAGTTTAATATAGATATATATATAATAATAATATATTGCTACCCAAGTTTTTTATATATATCTCACACACATAAAAGTAATTTTCTTAAGGAAAAGACAATTCAAGTATCACAAAATTCAGGAATCCTACATGCGATAACAGAAAAGACTGGGAACAAAAAATGAGAAGCATACTAGGTACCCAGCACCATTCTAAGTACATCGATGTACTAAATTAATTTATTCTTATCCAACAACTTTACAAAGAACAGGTAAGGAGAGATAACATGATCTGACAAATGGCATCGAGTCCATTAAAGGTAGAACAAGAGAGCTAGAACTCACTCAGATCAACTGATTTTGTATACAGTACATTTTTCTATTATATCTAGCTACATCTTGACTAATCGACTGAAATCTACTGTAGAAACTAAAGCAGTTCTTAACATGAGGCCTATGAGTTCTATAAAATAGGATACAGAACTATCTATGTAAACGCATGTACATTTTTCTGAATGTGTGTGTTGTGTGTGGGGGTGGGAGGGTAGCTTCAATGAGATTTTCAAAAGGATAAGTAACTTGGAATATTAACAATGAAACTGTTCCCTATGTGGACTGCATTTTCTGGACAGGCTTAAAAGAATGCAATTTGAGTTCCAAAAATTGTAACTAGTGTTTTATAACTTCAAGACCACAGCTTCCATTCATCAGAAATTAAAGCATCTAGCCACAGGATTCCTATTTTAAAAGCAAACTTAAATACCTTGTACCCTATACAAATTATTAGCAGTCAGAGGTAATTAAGTTAAAACACACTATCTTGGCCTTATTCATCTAAGTCTCCCTAATGCATTTAATGTATTTAATTGAGCACCTACTACATGCAAGGCACTGGGCAAAATTCTGTTGATAACATGTAACAAGGACAAACAAGGAGCTTTGCATTCAATACATACACAGTAGAGTTGGGATGATAATATCCATACACCAGTAACATAGGGTATAACTGAATCTTCAGAAAGGCCTAAAAGAGTATAGAAGAGAAACAGCCTGCTTCAAGCTAGAGAAAATGAGCTATGTGTGCAGGAAGAAATCATGTTTAAAAGTAATACAGGAGTGAGCAAAAGTAGGTTTACAGTTGTTCCTATGGAAAATAATACAAGAATAAATAAATAATACAAGAATAAAATCTGTTTCGCATACTCACAACTGCAAATCTACTTTTGCCCCATGCTGTATGGTCTCTTGAAAATGTCCATTTTGCAAAAGAGAAAAATGCTTTTCCAGATTACCTACTCTGAAAGAAAATAGAGAAGTCTGAGGCTAAAACCCCAGAAAGGAGAAGTCTGATTTTTAAAATTAAGGTTGCAAAAAGTATCACTTTATCAATCTTTAACTACTACAAAAACACAATTTCTATGAAAATGTGCATTCAGAATAGCAACTTGAGAATAGGGACCTATTTTCCTCCAATCCAGTAACAGAGACCCCTCTAATTCAAGAGGCAGCAACTTCAACTGTGTGAGAGAGAACTGTGTCATTTTAAGTCACAATATAAAATGTACTCCTTACCAATTGTTTTGAATTTGAAAATAACGGGGAGTTGATGGTGGGACACAGAAAGGAAAGTAAGGAGGAGTCAGTTACTCATACCCAGTAATATGTAAGGGTTAGTCATTGATGAGAGGACCTTCTGAGTGGTCCATCTTCCTGAATCCCAAATGTGCATGTATAGCTATACCATAAACAGTAAAAGACTAAATATAGTACAAACATATTCTAATTTTTGTTTACTATATTTTCAGTGTTTTTTTTTATATGCATCAAATATTTTGATTTAGTATAAGAGTTTTTGGAGGGCAGGCGGCAGTTTTTCGTCTGAATATCTGTCTACAGTTTATCATTGCTAAATATGTCAGGCACATAGAGGTATTTATAAAATACAATGTAAATTAAATATCAAACAGAAATACAATAAAATCACCATAAATGTGATACAAAGTTGAGCGACTAATATTAAAAAAAAATTTAAGTGATAAAACTTGGGCTTAGTTGTTGAGTAGTTATCTACACTCACTCCAAGTCTCACTTATCCTTACTTGCCAGCAACCAAGCTGTCAATACAATGTCACCACCTAGTGGCCAAAATGGAGAAACATCTGGAGCAACATCTTTTCACATCTCCTTTCTTGCCCCCTAACAAGGTCTGTACAATACACAAATCAAATTCTCTCTTCTCTACATTTCCCTGTTAATACAGTCTCCCAGAGGCAATCTTCCCCTCTAGATCCATACTTAAAGGAAATGTGCGCAAGTGATTCCAACCATTACCAAACACAGTAGTGAGCAGAGCCTTAATAAATGTTAGTGCCCTTCTACATGTTCTCAACTTATCTTTTCTCTTTCGATTCTTACCCAGCTATGTTTCTCCCTCTTCCTGAATGAGAGAAAGACAATGATCATATCTATTTTTTATGGATGACTATGAGTTATGTTTATGACTACCTTCAAGGATGTCCCACATTATCCCTAGCACAAGACAGAATGTATCTCTTTAGATGACTCCACATTTTTGAAATTGACAGAAAATATATTTGTATATCTGAAGGAAAAGGATCACTGGCTTTCTCTGAAATATAAAGGCACATCCTTACGGAAAAGAGGGATAGTGTTTAAGTATGGACGTCTTTCATCAATCATATTCCTAAATATGCTATCTGTACCACTTTCTACAAAGACTGCATTTCCCTATCAAAAGAATATTTCAGGTTTCATGGCAGGCCACCTAGTCCATTTAACTACTACTTCATCCATCTGACAGAATTAAAAATCACACTTATGGGGCTAGCTCAGATATCTAACTGTTTAATAGATACATTCAATAAATATTTCAATTTAGTTTATATACTTACAGAGCAACTAGTAATCAGATATAAAAACAGTATTCCAGTAAACAGACAATAGAAAATTATTTCTTGAATAAAAACACAAAGAAGAGTAAGCCAACACCCACACAAATATAAACAAATGCTCTTAACTCCTCAAAATAAGAGATGTATACCTGTGGGCTCTGGGGGTATTCAAAGACCTTTAAAGGGACATGTAGGTATGGATAATTTTATGTGAATCAATTTTCAGTTCAATTTCTATATAAATGCACTCTTTCCTAAACTGATCTACCTGAAAAGGCTCCTGTGGTAAATATTTCACCACCATTCTCCTTTCAACATTCCCTCTGCTTAATCACTGGCCCCCTACCCCTAGTTTTTAAAAGAAAGCCACATACCCCTCTCCTTACTATGGTCTACTTCTAGGAAGGATAACCAAAAGACTTTACTAAGATTTAGCAAACTAATATTATTTAAACCTGTTACTCTTTTGCATAAAAATACTGTTTTGGGGAAAAATATCAACCCTAGGTTGTATTGCCTCAAGATGTAAAATCTTCCATGGTACCAAATAAAGGGACAATTTGGGTAAAAATTTGGTGTTGGGAAGCCTTCTATAACTAATGTTGGAGAATTAAAGAGGTGAAATAAACAAAACAAAAAACTGACTTGATGCTAAACTCTGTCTCATTCTAACAGAAATAATATTCATCTATTAAACTACGTATTTTTAAAAACATCTGTCTCATTGACACATTTTCAATAAAATGTTTACATGTGCTTAATCATTATTTAACAAAATTTATGATGTATATTGACCAACTCTATAGAAATAATTCTAACTCAAATGAGAAAAAAGCTTTGGGGTAACAAAAATTTAAGTTTTTTAAAAGTCTAATATATACATATTTTTGTTGCAGAGAATTATGTTAGTGTGATAAAACTACACAAAATATATTACTTTTAAATAAAATTATGTGGGAGAAGTAGAATAAAAGAAAAAATGACGTAAAATTTCTAACTGTTAAAAAATTTGTTCATGTATTTTTAAGTCAAGATCAGAATTTTATTTAATTAAACTTTATTTTGAGACCATTGATGATTCATATGCAGTTGTAAGAAATAATAGATCTCTTGGACCATTTCCCCAGTTTCTCTCAACGGCAGCCTGTTCTTGTATTTTAAAAAATGGATTATCAGCCCTAGCTAGGTTTGCTCAGTGGTTAGAGCATTGGTCTGTGGACTGAAGGGTCCTGGGTTCGATTTTGGCCAAAGACATGTACCTCGGTTGCAGACTCAACCCCTGGCCCCGGTCAGGGCATGTGCGGGAGGCAACCAATCGATGTGACTCTCTTACATTGATGTTTCTCTCTCCAAATCTGAAAAGCAATGGAAAAAAATATCCTTGGGTGAGGATTAAAAATGGATTATAATTACAGCATTTTAGATTCCATTGGATACATCTAAAAAAGTGATGTTTATTTTAAATTTTATTATTTACAAAATGCCAGAGATTATACCCTTGAAAATTATTTAAACTTTTAAGTAATTTTTTAAATGTTATCTTAAAAATGTAAAAGAGAACATAGTCTTCCAAAATTCTCTTAGGGACTACATCAGGAAGGTTTTTTGAGTACCACTGCTCTAACCTAATATTCTAGAAAGTAGACGCCCAAAGCGA